TGTGTTCATCCAGCTCTACACCTTGTTATCTCAGATTCTCCAGCATCTGCAGTTCCTGCTATCTCTGGGTAGGTTATTTTTTAGGCAGCGGAATGAGGGTTGTTGGGGGAGATGGGAAAGTGCAAGTTGAAACACAAACACATCACCCGTGATCATGTTACATAGTAGAGTGGCTGAGTGGTCTGATTCTGCTCCTAGTTTATATAAAAGGAAGAATAATTCAGTGTCCTGTTAGTTTCCCAAATGAGGTCACCCACCCTTGGAATCGAGCCTGGATCAAGAGAGTTTACTTTCACACCAAAAGAGGAACTGAATAGCTCGATTCACTGGGCATCTGTCTGATGTTTTTGCTACAGATACACTATCCTGCTATGTCCACACACCCAAAGTCCCATCAACCTCCTTACCTGAAGGCATTGAACCTCTGTTAGTAACCATTTCTGAGTTGAGGTACTCTGCATTCAGATCTTGGGCAAGAGTAGCTGCTTTATCCTGGATGGTGTCAGGCTTTTTGTATGTTGTTAGAGCTGCACCCACCCAGACAAGTGGAGAGTATTCCATTACACTCCCGAGTTGTGTCTTGTAGATGGTGGACAGCCTTTCGGAAGGCAAGTATTGAGTTATTCACTGCAGGATTCCTAGCCCCTGACCTGCTCTTGCACCGATAGTATTTGTATGGCTGGTCCAGTTCAGTTTCTAGTCAATGGTAGCTTCCTGGATGTTGATGGTACTGCCCAGTGTACAACTGAGACATACGGGCAAAACAACCCTAGACGGGCTGCAGTTGTGGAAATATCATTGGTGTCAGGAACCTGGACTGCAAACAGTTGTAGTCTACAATCAGTATAGTAATCCTGATGGCTGAGCAGACAATAAATTTGGATAAGCATCCATGAAGTGACTGGCATCTTTAGGATCAGATGGTCAAGTCTTCCAGAGAACAAGGGAAAAATTGAGGAGGGCAAGTGGAAGTGGGAGAGTAAGTGGGTCAACTGAGGCTTACAAGCAGATTCTTGGCAAGACGGTTTCTGCCTCAAGGACGGAAGGCAAAACAAAACTAGATTGACAAAATTTCTACTTACCAAATACGACTAAATCTGCAGGCTCACTGTCCCTTTCGCCCACCATGTTGGTTGCCACACAGACGTACATACCAGCATCAGTCTTCCTTGTGTTTGAGATCATCAGCTTTCCTCCCCGGATCTAGAAGAGAAAACAACATCAAATCACACCACCAGATACCTACAGTTAAAACCACAAATGGTTCATTTGTCTGGCATGAGAAAATTGGTTTGTAGTAGGTTGAGGAACAGGTTATACTGGAGTGCAGTGCACTGGAGAGGGAGAATACATTACAGTGTGGTGCATTGAGATGACAAATGGTCTATTGGAACATGGTACACTGTGGGGAGAGAGTTTATGGAATGTCTCACACCATAGGGATAGGGTATATGGCGTGTGTTACAGTGTGGGAACAGAGTATATGGGATGTGGTCTACTTTGGGGAATGGTGTATTGCTATGCAGTACACTTTGTGGGCATGGTAAATTGGGACATTGTACACTTGGCCATAGCATGCAAAGTATGTGTTACAGTTTGTGGGCATGATACACTGGGGTCTGTTCCATCTGAGGGTATTTTATATTGGAGAGTGGTTGACTGTGGGGACAGGGTACGTGGGGTGTGGTATATTAGGACAATGGGATAAAATACTGAAGGGTCTGGAATGTTACTTTGTTGAAATTTTACTCCGGTGATGCTGATTAAATTGGGCATTTAAAAAGAAGTAGGAATATTAAAAGTTGCAGGAAGTTAAACATAAATATCAGGAAGGGTTCACGTGAAGCACTAATCTTTTAATATCAGTTGCCCCCTGGGATCGAGAGAACGGCACAGTGGCTCAGTGGTTAGCACTACTGCCTCACAGCGCCAGGGACCCGGGTTTGATTCCACCGTCGGGCAACTGTCTGTGTGGAGTTTGCATGTTCTCCCCATGTCTGCGTGGGTTTCCTCCGGGTGCTCCGGTTTCCTCCCAGAGTCACAAAGATGTGCAGGTTACGTGAACTGGCCATGCTAATTTGCCCTAGATTAGGTGGGTTATAGGGGGACGAGACTGCGTGGGATGCTCTGAGGATTGGTGTGGATTTGTTGGGCCAAAGGGCCTGTTTCCACACTGTAGGGATTCTATGATTCCAACATATTGCACAAGTTTCAGTCAGTTTAATAACAATCTTTGACTTGTTTCAGTGAAGAACTGTTTGCCCCTCATGCTTCAATGTTTACCATGTGACAGGAAGGGAGTGTCTGTGTGGTTCACTAGCATCCCCTGTCCATGCCCTATCACAGCGAGCGGTCTGTGCTGTTAGACTCAGCTTACCGTGATCCGCTCATCCTTGTCATTAATGAGGATGTTGTTTTTCTTCCAGGAGATAGTTGGTTCTGGATGCCCTCTGGGTGGGAGGCACTCCATCACAGCGGGCTCTCCAGCTGCCACCACAACGTCACTGGGTGTTTGACGGAAATCATCACGCAGGACTACAAAGAGACCGTGACAGAAAATCTTCATCAGTCAGGAGAAGGCAACTGTTTTCCTTAACTGAACAATGCTGGCGATTTAAATTGAAAATATCACAAGAAAACATCACAACTCATGATTATTCCAACTGCTGCCATTCCTTGGGATGTACACCTATATCAATTCAACTACCACCAGTCACGGCTAACACAGGTAAACGCTTCATTACAGTGAAGACTCTCAATGCCAGGGGACCCAAATTATAAAGAGAAAGAAATGCACTCGGATAGTGAGGTGATGAAGAACAAAGCTGTGGTGAAAGACAGAGAGGCACGACCACTGAAGCAGATTGAATAAACACATTCAAGCAGCAACTGAATGCGTTCCTAGGGACAGGAGGCAAATAGCATCAATGCATGGAGAACTGACAGCCTTACTGGGCCTAATATCCTTGCCAAGCTTTACAAAGCTCTTATCTTCCCACACCTCATGCAGAAGCACTGGGGTACACACACCTAATCGCACCAGTATTAGCTAGACGTCAGTGCAATTATCCTGCGTCTTACCTTGGCACGTTCTGTACAACAAACTGTTGTATGATAAGAGCCTTTGGCAGACTTCACTAAGAACAACACAGCTACAATATAAAACAAGTAAAGATTTCATTCTATCAACATGATCGGACTAAAAACAGCCTAATCAGCATCTACTAAGTAATTCCTGTATTTATTCAGTCCCAAGCAGTTCCATTAAAGCTTGTAATGGCCCACATCACTCTTGATCTATGTACACATTAGTTCCTGCCTGCAAACTGCACCAAATTACACCAGCTCATTTTTCCCTCCTTTAGTAATTCAATTTGGTCTCTACTGATCTGAATTAATGAATATTCCCAGTCAGATGGATGGAAGATATGTCCATTACCCAAAGTAGCAGCTAACCCTGCAGTCAGTCAAAAAACCATTGACAGAACTAAAGTGGACTCATGGCTCCCAACCAGCATATATTACAGGAACAGACGAGCATAGCAATTAATTAGATCCATAGAATATATTCCAAACATCTCCCCTGGGTGCTCTGGAAATACACCAGGGAGAGGAGGCTTATCAATTCTGTGCGGCCTGGATGGAAAAAAGCAACAGATTCAATGTCAAAGCTGCTGCATCGCTTCAAACGTTGCCGGTTCTCCTGGAGCTTGACACCCAGGAATACACATCCACCCTAGATTTTTCACACAGCATTTATTCTTCATTCTTTGCAAAGCCACATGTGTTTAGGATTGGGGACTGAAGTTTCGAATTTTAAAATATTTACAAAACAAAGAGGAATGCTGTCAGGAACATAGTTCTAAAGGGGCAGGGAAATTATTAAGTGCAAAGCATTGTTAGTATCCACACTGGATTCAAATATTCTGAACCGGGGTCATGGGAGAATACTGTAAAATTAGGGCTATGATGTTTTAGAAATGAGTGCTGGGACTGGGGTTTCACTGTTTCTGCTCTATTATGACAACAACCAATATTTCACTCAATGCATTCCCAACTTTTGCCAACATATATCCTGTCCCATATTGTCCATTTCACCCAACATCCCTAGTCCTCCTGATCCACACTGAACATCCTTATCTTTGGCATTCAGCATAAAATCCTCTCCATGTCGTTGCCCCACTCTAAGATATTGGTCATTCCACCTTACATCTCATCCCAAACATCCAATTCTTGAGATTTGGAACTTCTGTCCACGAAATGTTTCATGTGCAGAGGCAAGGCCAGTTTTTGTGTGCGTAACAAGTTTGACTCACAGTATTTTAAATGTCCACTGCATGCTACAGCTCTACTTTCTAGTTCTATCTGGAGCTTCATTTACTTTTCTCTGAGTCCACGTCCAGGCTTACTTGATCGAGAAACATGAACATCACCAGGAAACAGGCTTACATTACCAAACACAGAACAAGTGAACACTAAATCTAAATTTATCTCCCCTTCCCTTTGTCCACTTTTAGTGATAGGGTCTATAATCAACTCAGTCATAGATTTTGAACTCCTTTCTTAAAATTCTTCAGCTCGTCCTTTCTGTCTCTGCTCTTACAAATATCTTTGAAAGGTGTTTCCTCCAGGTTAAACTTTAGTCACTCCCCATCAGAAATCTGGCCTCCTCTTCTCTCAGTGTCTAACTTCCAATGCTGTATAGACTGTTCTCCATATCAAATTCTTCACCAATTTCTTCACACTCAGTTCACTTCTCCAGCCAATATTCTCTGCCATGGGTTCAATACAACATTTCACGGTTGAAGTGCCCTGCATTACTAGTTATTTATTACAAATTGAAGAGTGGTACAAATTCTAGTTGAGTTGTTAATTTCTTGATGCGGTTGAATTGCGTTTCAGCAGCAAGCATTTCATTGACATTCAAGAGATATACAAAGAAGCAGATCGCAAATAGAATACAAATTACCCATTGGACTTCGCAGTTTGAATTCTCGAATAATATCTTATGTTTTGAAGTAATTTCAGGTCTCTAATGATGTTTTGGGGTTCTGATGACAGTTACAAATGACCACTGAACCCTACAATTCGATTATTGGTTTGCAACTACTCCCTTGAGCCTTTAATTACATCTGATGACACTTCACAGTGTTATGTTTCAATGCTGTGCATGGATATGTGTATTAGAGGAAGACAGCTACACAAAGCCATAATTAACTTAAATCTATCTTCATGGATCAACAGAAATTAAGCCGTAGTTATTACAACTATAAAGTAACGGTCATTATAGTCTCATTGCCAACACAGAAAAATGAACTTCATTCTTCCCAATGATGACCGACACTAAAATTAATTCTCTTCTGTTGTTCCAGTGTGTCATGACAATACTGTATCCAGATGTGCTGCAGATAAGCATTCAGGGAAGGCATGCCTGTCAGCAAACTACCTTTTATTCAAAACGGCAAATACCAATTATGTACAGGACATCACTTCACACATGGTCTCTAATGACAACAGTCTCCCAATAGTTATGAAATGTTACATCATGTGCCCTGAAGAATTAAAACTATCTTATTTACGTGTTTGCATTAACATTTTATTAACCCTTTACACTACATCTCTTGCGGGTCTCCAATTCGATTCGTGACGTTATTTACATCTCCTTATCCTACATCTCCAACCACAAAATTAACTACAGAGGAGAGAGGCCATTCATCATAGAATACCCAAAAAGCAGATGCCTGCTTTTATGAAGACACATAATAAGGATTCTATGCTCTCCGTTGTACAGGTTGCCAGGAATTAATTTGAAAGATATGTTTTGGTTGGGTCATTCAGTCCCATTCAATTAGAAAATTTGAGTATCTTAACGGAGGCTAGTGTAGAGTGAGCAATGTCGTGACACTAGCATCACAAGGCTAATTAATTTTGAACAGCGAGTGCTGGAGAAACTCAGCAGATCTGGCAGCATCTGGAGAGAGAAACAGAGTTGGTATTTCCAGTTCAGTATGACTGTTCTTCAGAAAATAAAAAGAGGCTAGAATTTTATTTTAATACCATTGACAGAGGATAAGGAGTGAATGGAACAGATGGTGAGGGTGCCCAGAGCAAAAGACATACGGAGTGTGAATGGTGGTAAAGGAGAGATAGAGATGCAAAATGGGTGTTAATGATAGATGTGAAAAGGAGAAAATAGTTCCCCTCTGCTGACAGCAAAGTCAATAAGGCATAAATAAGAGAAGCTGTAATCAACATGGATTACAGAAATCATGCTCTGAAGTTGTTAAACTCAATGTTGAGCCCAGAAGTTTCTTTTTTATGATTGTCACATGTACCTAGGTACAGTTAAAAGTTTTGTTGTGTGTGCAATACAGGCAGATCATACTACACAAAGTACATTAGGGTAATAGAACAGATCAAGGAATATAATGTTACGACTACAAAGAAGGTACACAAAAGAGCGAGATCAACATTTAAATTTAAGATTTGAGAGCGTGCCAAAATGGGAAATGAGCTGTAATTCCTCCAGCTTACTTTATGCTTTGGAACACTGTTCAGCTCCAGGATAGAAATGTCAGCATGGGAGCGAGGTGATTTATTAAAACAACGAGCGACTGGAAGGTTAGAAAGAGTGGAAATGTTCCTTAAAGCAATCACCCAGAAAGTACTTGATCTCACCAATGTAATGGAGACTGTATTGTGAGCAGTGAGTACAACAGACAAATTGAAAGAGGTATAAATAAACGCTGCTTCACCTGGAAGGTGTGTTTTGGGCCTCGGTTGGTGAGGATGTGAAAGGGCAAATGTCACACCTTCTGTAATTGTATGGTAGAGTGCCATAAGAAGGTAGGTTTTCAGGAAGTGTTAGCCATGATGGAAGAGAGGAGCAGTAATGTCAAGGAGGGAACAGTTTCTGCAGGGTGCTGGAAGTGGAGGGGTGGGGAAGATAGAGGTAGTATCATCCTGGAGGTGGCAGAAGCAATGGAGGATAATCCTTTGAATGTGTAGACTGATGGTGTGGAAAGTGAGGACAATTGAAGGAGGGGGAGGGAGTGAGGGCAGACGTGCAGGAGATGGGTTGGACATAGGTGAGGCCCTGTCCAGCACAGTGGATAGGTCAGAAGGCTGGGGGTAGGGGTGGTCCCCTGATTGAGGAAAATTGAGGTCATGTTGAAGGCACCCCAGTGGAAAGTAGCATCATCAGAACACATGCGGCAGAAATGGAGAAACTGGGAGAATGGAACAGAAAACTTGCAGGAAGTAGAGTGTGAGGAGATTTAGCGAAGGTAACCAAGGTTCAAACTACAAATTGGATTAGTAGTGGACGTTGGTGGACAGCTTATTCCCAGTAATGGGAACAGTGAAGTCAAGAAAGGGAAGGGAGAAGTAAGAGATGGACCAGGTGAGGGTGATAGAAAGATAGAAACTGGAAGCAAAACTGAGGATGTTTTCTAGTCCTGGACAACAGCAGGAAGCCACACGGATGGAATATTGAAAAAAAAAGAGCTGTTCATGAAGGTCATGAGTAGGACTGG